ATAGACAAGGACTAAAGAGTCTTGGGGTAGAGTTTTTCTGTGAAATGACTGGAAAAATGACTGGTAACAGTTCAAGGGAAGTGTAACCAGACGCCAGTGGGAATGGCAGCTAGCATAGTCTGTGGATATTAGAGATGGATGGTGCCCATTTCAATAAATATGGCGGTCATCCAATGCTGGTAGGCTCCTGTGAGGCTGGTCGTCATTCACAGAGCCTCTTACAGACGTTTCCCCACCATTGGGCACCATCAGTCTGCCCACTCTGATGACTTTTCATATGCTGCTCCTTCCCAGCTTATGGAAATATTGGGGGAAAGCTATGCTCTTCTCAAACCTATTACTTTCATTTAATGTTTATCTCAAACACTTTGGTCTTCGGTTCCTCTCATTTTCTGTAAAAATCCTTCAGTTTTTGAAGAACAAACTGGGAAGAGTCACTTGTTTCTACCTTATGTCTAGGCTCATTCTTCCTCTGAGGCCATGAACACAGTATGGCCTAATTGTCTGAATGATGTCGAAGTGGTAAGGAAGAAGTGAACGACATAAAACAAAGAACGCAAATCATTTACTAAAGAAAGAAAGATCCTTTTTTCACTTCTTATCTGTCACCAGTGTGTGATATATCTTGATATCTGTGAAAGCACCGACCTCAATAAATGTTGAATTTTATGTGGATTTTACCAAATCAAGAACTAGTTCATTCAGTGTAAGTCAATTTGGTTCAGACCATTAGGCAACTCAGGCCAAAAATCCTGATTCACCAGGTAAATCAAACTGTGCAGAAGTTTTCTTTCCCTGGCTTGATTTTTTTTGTTTTTAAAGTAAGAGTTAATAGGGAACATTAGGACAATGAGCTAGGCATATTAGAGATAACACTGTGTTATAAAGTACAAATAAAATATTAATGGGAGCCAGGATATTTTTGTCAGAGAGAGAGAGAGAGATACACATATTACTTTGATAAAATCACTATAGGAGATAAATACTATACAATGTCATAGTATATTTTAACAATCTGTAAATTTACACACAACTGAGGGTCCATTCCATCTCCAGAAGATATCCCAGTCTAACAAAGGAGCAGAGATTACAGCGAACGCTCTGAAACTGTTCTAAACTTTCATGAGCATTGAATTTAGATTTTGAATCAATTTAAATCAATGGTCCACTTTACAGACTTCTTGCTCAAAAACTTTGGACTATAGGAAGAGACTGAGGAAGTGCAAATTATGTATGTTCATCCTTAATCAAACCCATAAATCTACATAATTTCAAAGGAATCATTTCTGTCTCCAGGGATTTGTTCTGTCAAGTAGCAGCCAGAGATGCAAGAACGAAGTTATCTTTTTAAAAATCTGTTTACTCCCTAAAGGGCCATAATCATGTAAATCAACCCTGCAAAAACGAAACTGGAGTCGATTCTGACTCATAGGGACCCTACGGGATGGAGCAGAACTGCCCCATAGGGTTTCCAAAGCTGTAATCTTTATGGGAACAGACTGCCACATCTTTCTCCCTTGGAGTGGCTGGTGGGTTCAAACGGCCGACCTTTTGGTTAATAGCTGAGTGCTTTAACCACTGTGCCACCAGGGCTCCTATGTAAGTCTCAGTGGTTCCCAAATCTTGACATACTACAGAATCACCTTGGGGGCTTGTTAAAACACAGATTGCAGGGTCTCACTCCAGAGTTTGTAGACCATAGATTTGGGATCAGGCCCTAGAATCAACATTTCTAACAAACTCCTAAAGTGTGCTGATGCTGCTCGTTCCAGGAGTACATTTTCTTTTTTTAAATTTTGGTGAAAGTATACATAGCTAAAGATACACAATTTCAACACGTAACAGTTTAGTGACATTGGTTACAGCTTCAAGTTGCGCTACCATTTGCTATCCTTTTCCACATTATTCTACCATCAAATTCTTAAACTCACTGCCCTCTAAGCTTCCCATCCAACCTTTTGAATTGCCACTGTCAATTTAATCTCACATAGATAATTATTTAAAAGAGCACAATGCTCAAAGCAGAATTACTTTACTAATTGAAATAAGCTATTTTTTAGTTCAAAGAAGACTTCAAGGGACAGTTTTGGTTTTTCTTAATTGTACTTTAGATGAAGGTTTACAGAACAAACTTAGCTTCTCATTGAACACAGTACACATATTGTTTTATGACATTGGTTAACAACCCCACGACATGTCAACACTCTCCCTTCTCGACCTTGGGTTCCCTATTACCAGCTTTCCTGTCCACTCCTGCCTTCTAGTCCTTGCCCCTGGACTGGTGTGTCCCTTTAGTCTCATTTTATTTTATGGACCTGTCCAATCTTTGGCTAAACGGTGAACCTCAGGAGTGAGTGACTTCATTATTGAGCAAAAAGGGTATCGGGGGCCATACTCTTGGGGTTTCTCCAGTCTCTGTCAGGCCACTAAGTCTGGCTTTTTTTTTGGGTTAGAATTTTGTTCTACATTTTTCTCCAGCTTTGTCCGAGTACCTCTATTGTGATCCCTGTCAGAGCAGTCGGTGGTGGTAGCCAGACACCATCTAGTTGTACTGGACTCAGTGTGGTGGAGGCCATGGTAGTTGTGGTCTGTTAGTCCTTTGGACTAATCTTTCCCTTGTGTCTTTAGTTTTCTTCATTCTCCCTTGCTCCCAAACGGGCGAGACCAGTGGAGTACCTTAGATGGCTGCTCACAGACTTTTAAGACTCCAGATGCTACTCACCAAAGTAGAATGTAGAACATTTTCTTTATAAACTATGTTATGCTAATTGAGCTAGACGTTTCCTGAGATTATGGTCCCCATAGCCCTCAGCCCAGTAATGTGGCCCCTCAGGGAGTTTGGATGTGTCTATGGAGCTTCCATGACCTTGCCTTGTACAAGTTGTGCTGGATTCCCCAGTACTATGTATTGTCTTACCCTTCACCAAAGTTGGGATCGTTTTGGTTTTTAAGGTTTAAAGTTTAAAGATTATCTCAGGGAAATAGTTTTGGGGGCTCATCCAGTCTCAGTGGCTCCAGGAAGTCTGGATTCCATTGAGAATTTTAAATTATTTTTCACATTTTCCCCCTTTTGATCAGGATTCTTCTATAGACTCTTTGATCAAAATGTTAAGTATTGGTTAGCCAGGCACCATCTAGTACTTCTGGTCTCATGGCAGAGGAAGTGTTGTTCATGGAGGCAACCAGACACATCTTTGATTTCCTCCTCTAATTCCTGACTCTCCTTCTTCCTCTGTTAATCTGGTACATACTTAGGAGCCACTGATTTAAGAGAATTGTCTTACCCAGACACCTCTGTGATTTCTCATAAAGTCCAAATACTTTAGGGTGGCCTTTTGGCTTAACTGGGTGGTTTCAACTTTTCACTCCAGTCTACATTACTGCTTCACTCTCAGTCAGACCTATCTATTTCCTGATCTTATATGTACCTTGATCATTAATGCATTCCACCTCCTTTTTAACCCAGCTTTCTCTTTCCCACCCATTTGAAGCCTGTCTCCTGAAACCTTATCTCTGAAGCGTTATCTAACCACAGATCAGGAGAATCTCATTTTTCTCTAAACTCCAGGCACTTATTATTTATACTTGTTTTTTGGCACTGAGCACATACTCATCCATACTTTTTTTTTTTGTGTCTCCTTCCTTTCACTCTTGATCCCACCTTAATGTTTCAAGGTCCAGCTGAAATGCTACATTCTACCTGAAGCCTTTCTTGCTTCTCCTCTTAACTCAGTTGGAAACAATCTCTCTTCTGAACACCCAGAAATAGAAGACTTCATTTTCCCCTTTCATGTGGCATTTCCTTTGAGATTTGTTTTATGTTCTTTTCTTAATTTCTCCTAAGTGATTACAAACTCATGGAAGATCTGTCCTATAGCATACTCAACTTTTAATCCCCTAAGTGCTTTCTACATAGTGTAGCTCAATAATGCATTTATATGACACAGGAAAAAAAATATACAAGATGTTGGGAGACTTTTCCTAACACAGCATTATTGTTCCACCACTGCCACACCAAGGTTCACTGCAAAGCTTGCTCCCATGGGCATGCCCCCAGGACTGTCCACTAGGTAGTCACCACCCTGTCAAAGTCCCTGTGCAATGAATCACAGAAATTGTCTATCTTTGTGGAAATGCCGTGCTTGTTTTATTTGAGTGTAGAGGCCAATGAAAGCTAAGTAACAGATGTGTACATGGTCCTGTTACTTTCAAATCCTAATTTAAAAAGTGATAGTATGTAGGTAAGGAGCCTTGGTGGTGCAATGGTTAAGCACTTGACTGCTAACCAAAAGGTCAGAGGTTTGAACCTAGTGGCTCTGCAGGAAAAAAGACCTGGTGATATGCTTCGATAAAGATTACAGCCTAAGAAACCCTACAGGGCAGTTCAACTGTGTCCTATAGGGTTGTCGTGAGTGGGAATCTATTCAACGGCACACAACAACAACAGTATGTAGGTGGCAGGTGATTCTATGTGATTACCTGTTCAGTCTCTTCCATCAGGACACAGGCCCTTTGAGAACTCCGACTGGGAGTAGATGAATTGATTTCCAAGTTTGATGCTTCTTATCTTCTCAGACAGGCTAAGTGGCATGGACTTTAGGCAGAATTCAAAGGTGTATAGCTAGCCCTCCCCTTCACTCTGTTTAGCTCAATACTAGAGTCTTTGGAGATCGGGTAAATCAACTCTCCATCTTCCCACCTAAATTGCCTTCTGCCCAAGGAAAGTGTTGGAGAGTTCTGAGCTAAGAAATTCAATGATTTATGCTTCTTTATATCTCATGGTTTGCACGTAATGGGGAATCAATGCATCTTTGATATTTTCTTGGTCATCAGATGTTTGTTTTCTCCCATATCTTCCACTTTGCCTCCACACACATAAACATGCTTTCCTAATAAATGTGCTTAAATTTGCTATGGAGACAAAGTTCAATTTACCATCAGGTCCTCCATAAATTACCATACGAGTTCAAATTCTAACTTTTGTAATATTGTAGGAACATGAGTGTAACACCCTGTTAAGGGAAGTGAATGAGATTTCACTAACGTCTTTCTTTAACTTTCTCTTTCATTTTTCAAGTTTCCATGTTTCCTCCCACCTGAGACCACATTGGTTTCATCTTGAATGCTGAGAAAAATTCCTAAAGAAAATTCACACTTTGGTTATCCTTCTGAGGCTCAAAGCTTGTCCATTTGATGAAGAATTTGTCCTCTGCTTTCTAATTAAAGCTTCTTTGACTTGTTCCTATTTGTGGTTGTTGTGTGGCCTTGAATAGATCTGACTCATTGCAGCCCTATATGATAGAGTAGAACCACCTCCATAGCGTTTCCTAGGCCGTGATCTTTATGGGAGCAGATTGCCAAGTCTTTCTCCTTCGGAGCCGCTGGTGGCTTCAAACTGCTGACCTTTAGGTTAGCAGCCGAGTGCCTAATCATTGTGCCACTAGGGCTCCTTTGTTCTTATTTAGAATTCACTAAATAAAAGAGAAGGGAAGGTTCTTTGTATTCATCAGAATTCTATCAGTTGTTTGGGACAAAAAATTTAATTCAAATTATTTAAGCAAACAGATAATCTATTGACTTATATAATGAAAAAGCCCAGGGTATCCAGCTTCAGGCACATTTGTGCCTACAGGCTCATACACTGTCATGGGGACTCAATTGTCTTCATTTCTCAGCTCTTCCTTCATTGTGTGAGCTCCACTCTCAGGAAGGTAGGGTCTCCTATCCTGGTGGCCTATTAGCTGTTAGCACTTCCAGGCTTAATTGGCACCCAAAAGAGTGGCGCCCACCTTATCCCTAACCCCAATCCTAATAAAATACTCTGGATTTTATCTCACAGGCTCTGATTGGGTCATTTGCTATTCCAGCATGAATCTCTGTGTCCACTGGGAAGATTGAGGTCCAGGCCCACCCAAACGCCGTGAGCTGAGCCAGCTCTGCATCAATCGAGAGCTGGACAGAGTGATTCCCAAAGGGTAGTTAAGTACCCTGCACTCCGCTACACTCGGCTTTTGGAAGAGATGATGACACTGGTGAAAATGGAGAGAGAAGCAGTAACTAAAGGAGCAGGGATGAACTTCTTGCTGGAAGCTGTAAAAGAAGTATGAAAAAAAGTTAGAGAGATTTTAGGTAGCAGAGATGTTTTTAATACTTCATTTCTCCTGTGATTCACTTATTAAACTTAGAAAATTCCTGATAAAAACATTTGAGGCTGGAGTTTATTATGTATCATATATAGTAGCATATGTATTAACCAGTGTAATCCTCATAATAACTTTATGAGGCTGATACTATTATTATCTCTATTTTGCAGATGAGGAAAGAGAGGCATGGAGAGATTGAGTATTTATGTGAGGTCACACAGTGTGGCAGAGCCAGGATTTAATCTAGATAGTCTGAGTCAAGAAATCATACACTGAACTGCCTGGAACCTAAATGTCCATTCTCAGTCCTCATTACACTTGATCTGTCAGCCACAGTTATCATAGGTGATCACTCCCTCCTCCTTGATACTTACTCTTCACTTTGCTTCTAGGACACTACCTTGATTTGTTTTTTTCTCCCTCACTAGCCACTCCTTCGAAAGCTTGTTTGCTATTCCTTCTCATCTTGATCTTTTAAAAATGGAGTGCCTGAGACTTGGTTCTTGGGATCTTCTCTCTTTTATCTACACACTTGTATTGCTCATCCAGTCCCATGTCTTTAAATGCCATCTGTATCCCACTGACTCCAAATTTATATCTCCAGCCTGAATCACTCCTCTGAACTCCAGACTCATATATCCAACTGCCAACTCAACATTTCTACTTGGAGGACTGTTTCACATCTCAGGTTTAACAGGGCCCATACCAACCTCCTATTCTTTATACCCAAATCTTCTTCATCCACAGCCTTCTCTAACTCAGTTAATGGCAACCCCATCCTTTCCATTACTCACACCAAACACCTTACAGCCTTCCTACCCTACTCCTTTCCTTTGACTCTTCCCATCCAATATGTCTGGAAGTTCTATCGGCTTTAACCTTCACAAACTATCCTGAGATGGATCAAGCGTCACTGCCTCCACTGTTACCACCGTCATCTCTCAGCTGGATTATTGGAATAGACTCCTCATTGCTTCGAACCTTGCCTTATTACAATTTATTCTCAACTGAGCTGTTAGAGCAGTTCTATTAAAATGCTTTTGTGAAATCCTCTATGGAATCAAGAAGTCTACCCAAAACTTTCTAGTAGTTTCCCATCTGACTAAGAGGAAAAGCATAAGTACTTACAACTGTCCTAAGGCCCTACTTGATCTAACCTGAATTATCTCTCTCCACTTTGTTACTTTTGCCCTCATTCATTCCCATATTCCCTTGCTATTATTCCTGACTTAGGGCCTTTGCAGGTTCTTCCCAGAATGCTCTTTCCTCAGATATTCATGTGCCTAGCTCATCTCCTTTCAACTTTAGCTCAAATGTTGCCTTCTCAGTGAGGCTTTTGTTGATCACCCAATTTAATATCAAAAGACCCTTCCCTGGTATTCTCTATTCCTCTGGTTGGTTTTATTTTTCTCCATAGCACCTACCACCTACTAACATACTACATAGTTTACTTATTGATTTTGTTTATTGTCTGCCTCATTACACAAGAATAGAAATTCCACGAGGACAGGAATTTTCATTTATTTTGTCCCTATACCTAGAATGTTGTTGTAGTGTGCTGTTGAGTCAATTCTGACTCATAGTGACCCCATGTGACAAAGTAGAATTGCCTCATCGGGTTTTGTAGACTGTAATCTTTATGGGAGCAGATTGCCACATCTTTCTCCCTTGGGGCCACTGTGTGGGTTTGAACTGCCAACCTTTCAGTTAGCAGCCAAGTGCTTAACCATTGTGCCACCAAGGCTCCTTACACCTAGAACAGTGCCTAGCATATAGTGGGTTCTCAATAAATATTTATTTACTGAATGAATGAATGATAGCTGCTATGAAGATGATGCTCAAATAACAGAGGTAAATATTATTGGGGAGCTCTGGTTATTATATTCATGCTCATCTTTCAAAAACCAACTCTTAAGCCCCTTCCCAGTAATCAGAATGTTAAAAATAGCCTATTTTTATTTTACTCTCTCAGGTTAAAGTAATTTTTCCTTCCTCTCTTGATACCTTTCCTCTACCTTTTTAATGACTGTTATCAATTCTACCTCACATTCTTTTTTTTTTTTTTTTTAACACGGACAGTATCTTTACTTAGGAGAATAAATGAGAAACATCTGAGAGTTAAGTTAATTAATTGATAAAATCTTTTATTGAGAATATCTCACATTATTTTTACTTTTGTACTTGTCTCTACTTTTCTACTAGACTACCTTTTAAAAGATTTTTATTCCTTCTTTACCTTATGACAGTATTGAAATATTGAATAGTGGGTCACATTGAAATTTGTGACCCATTAATGGGTTGTAACATCAGTTTAGTAGATCATGACCATCTTTGTTTAATAACGTAATACAGTAGGTTAGAAGGGAAAACCCTAAAGTTACACTGCACATAAAAAGGATAACTATTGTTATAGACCATGGAGGTATAGTGGTTAAGAGTTAGGCTGCTAACCAAAAGGTCTGCAGTTCGAATCCAACAGGTGCTCATTGGAAACCCTATAGGGGCAGTTCTACTCTGTCCTATAGGGTCACTATGAGTCGGATAGACTCGACAGCAATGGGTTTGGTTGATTGTTATAGATGCATATGTGTATGTGTGTATTTATGAGTAAGTGAACTGAGTTTTAATGTAAATAGTCACAGTCAAGGACATTTGAAACTAATGGTAGGTTGTTAGTAACATTCATTTAATGGACAAATGAATCTCCTGAAAACAACCTATAGAGAAAATTGTCGTGGATTTCTTGTCAGAAAACGAAGGAGAGGGTCCTATTTTGCCGTTTATAAACTGTATGAATCTTCTACAAACCACTTGACCTTTCTGCACCTCAGTATTCACATTAGTATAAAAAAAACTCATTGCCATTGAGTCCGACTCATAGTGACCCAATAGGACAGAGTAGAACTGCCCAATAGAGTTTCCAAAGCTGTAAATGTTGACAGAGGCAGACTGCCACATGGTTCTCCCATGGAGAGGCTGGTGAGTCGGAACCACCCACCTTTCCCTTTTGTTTGGCAGCGAAGCACTTAACCACTGCGCCACCAGCGCTCCTCACATCAGTATCGTGGGGTCAGTAAGACAATTTACAGGCTGATTGTGAGAATTAAGCAGATGATGTGTGTGAGAGCACTTTATAAAGTAAGTTGCAACACAAGTGTCATTTTTATTGGTGTGTTATAACCAAATTTTGGTCATTGATGCCTTAGGGTATAGAGTTATGAAGTCTGAATCTGGGAATCGTATCAGATTGCTCAAAATGAGATAGTGAATCTTTTGAAAAAAGCAGAAAAAGGTAAAATTGATATGCAATATCTAGTTAATCTCGTATGTGAAGCCACATTCTATCAATAGCCTCTTTCTGTCAAAATGTAGAAAGTGATAGGTATTAACCCTTTAAAATACTTCCTGGCAAAAAGTTGGCATCAAAAAACGGTAAGCAGTAATGAAGTACACGTGTGTCATTGAGCTGTTAGTCTAGTTTCATGTGCAAAGTACTTCCCCAGAGTTTTTCCATCGTGTTCCAGAGGGTGGGTATCGAGTGCTATTGTACACTGCTCAAGGCAAGCATTAGCTTCGTTTTATAAATGAAGAAACAGGCTCAGAGGTTAAGCCATTGACACAAGGCTACACAGCTACTGTCGCTAAGTGGTGCGAACGGTTAATACGCTCACCTGCTAACAGCTCGGCTGCTAACCAAAAGGTCGGCAGTTCGAATCCACCAGCCACTCCTTGGAAACCCTATGGGGCAGTTCTACTCTGTCCTATAGGGTTGCTATGAGTCGGAATCGACTCGAGGGCAACGGGTTTGGTTTTTACTAACCTGAAAGGTTGGAGGTTTGAGTCTACCCAGAAGTGCCTTGGAAGAAAGGCCTGGCTATCTTCTTCCAAAAGGTCACAGTTTAAAAACCCATGGAGCAGTTCTACTCTACACATATGGCGTGCATGAGCTGGAATTGATTCCATGGCAACCAACAACAACAACAAACAATTGAAGTCCAAGTAAAAGAAAACAAAGTTAATAAAATAAATAATAGTAAAAGAAATAGTAGCTAATAAGTTCTGAGTCCTTATTTACATGTGTCAGATACTGTTCTGGAGCTTTTACATGCATTAATTTATTTTATTTTCGCTAGAATCTTATAAGGTAAGTTTTAAAAAATTATTCCTATTTTACATAAAAAGAAATGGAGGCACAGAGAAATTAAGCTTCTTGCCCATGTTTTCACTGTTAGTAACTGACAAGGTTTATATGTAAAACCACGTTTACTACAAACAATTGACTATATTTATCTAGAAAAAATGCTTAGGAATTTTGATTATGTGAAACATTTTAACAAATAAACTCCTCCTGTTTATGAATCCAATGATACAGAACAGAGCATGGATTTGTGCGTCTACAGATTTTTGGCACAGATTATTTTGCTGAAAGAAGCAACATTTAAGGGCAAAGAACTAATTAACATTCTGTTAACATATTTTGAGTCTTCCAGTGGGCATGAAAACATCTGCTTCTATGGTAACCACTACAGGTCATGGTGAGGTTGAAAGAATAATTAAGAGAGGGAAGCTGTTAGTTTAGAATGACTTAAATATTTCTTTTGCAGATTTACTCCCTTAAAAGTATTTATGTTCCTAACGTGACCTCTTGGCTCTCTGAAGGCAACAGATTCCTGAGAATTCTTTGAACTTGAGAACTGCGATTACAAGTTAGCAGAACTAATTTGAAATAAATTGAAGAACTGGGGAAGTTATGCTCTTTAACGTACTGTTTCTTCACTGGGGGCAATTACAGAGTCCCACATGGCCAATTTTAAAAGTCTTCACACTGTCTTTCAAGTATTAACATCTGTCAGATTAAGAGGGATCAAGAGAGGAGGTGTAAATCACCCGGCTCATAAGGGCTTTCTGGGACATAGAATAGCTTGTGGCTTCTGCTAGTGAATAAAA